AGTTATGATTGGTAAAATTTTGTATGTGGAGGGGGGGGGGGGGGCTTACACCAATCTCAAAAGGTTGTGTCACATTAGGAAGAAAAGCTCGATGCCTCACACCTAATCTTAAAGGTGACAAAGAATTTTCATTTCATTGGGAAGGAAAGCTCTGTGGCCCATATCTAACCCAGGAGGTAGTGGAAAGGAAATTAGCATCGCGGTACTGGCTTTAAGAGTAGAAATATAGTGCAGAAAGTGTGTAGTGTTGAACTCATAAATGTGTGTCATGTGAAAAGATTGACATTAGTGAGGAAGATATGTAAAATTTTGTGAGGTTTTATGCAGACTGTGAAATTCCACAAGGATATGAAGAGAATTAGTGAAAACAAGGATAGTCGTGCTGTGCGAGAAAAGAGTAAGAAACCTCAAATATAAGCGAATCAACTCAACAGATTTATTTTCTTTTCTTGTTGTTTTTATCACATTTAATTATCAAAATTTGTTTTCAAATTTTAAAAATTTTTCTTGATTGATTTTTTTTCAAAAGAGTATTTTATTTGAAATTTATTCTTATCAAGTTTTTATTGTTTTGTTCTTTATTCATTTTTGTCCCAAACCAACTTATGGTTCTGTGGCTTTTATCCATCACACAAAAAGGGCAATTGAACAAACAAACAAAATTTTGAAAGAGATTTCATTAATCCGCTCCAATAAGCTTTACAACTTGAGTGAAGGCCAAACCCTCAAAAAATACAATTATGCTGATTGCATCAAAGTATATCTAAAAATATCCCATGCTAAGTACATATCGTAGGCTGAGCATGTCAAATATATATTATATATGCTGTGACGAAATGTAGTGAAGAGGAATCCTCTGGGTGTTTGTCTCTAGTGAGGCAAGCTCCTGATTGAGCCGACCTACTAAGCCATGCTCTAGATAAGAGTTCCCTTTTTGCATGTGCCTAAAGTTGCGACCCTCTCATAGCTTGTACGACAGTAGTTCTTACAGCTTCGGGTCTGGCCGTAATCCATATGGCATTTTGCTGTCATCTATCCTTCAAAAGGTTACGTACACCTTGCAGTGTCACACCCCTAGAATGTAATGTTTAGCGGCATCTGCTCTGTTTCCTTTAAGAACCAGCACTGAACCTATGGGTAGCGGAATCTCCACGGTTCCTTTGAATTCATCGGAGGCAATGACATCTACCTTTTTTCCAAATAGAATGTTGCTCTTACTCATGGAAGAGAACGTGTAGGAAGGTCTCACAAAGTCATTATGGTCAATGTGCGAGTGTATGATGTCACCTTCATCGTATATGTTGATGATACAACTGTTGGGAGTATAGTCAGCTGGCAGTATCCTCCATCGAATCATTCTCTTAATCATCCATTTTATCATGGGGGTAGCGGATCCATCTGAACATGTTTCAGAATCCCAGGAGGATTTCCTTGTCTGTCTTTACTGAAGTTGTAACAGTAGCCACATTATATGGTGATCCTGCCCTTTCCATGCATCCACTTTCGTGGCTCCGGGAAGGGGGTTCTTTCCATCAGGAGGCCTGCACGAACCCTGTCTCTTAAATCAAAGATGCAGTCGAGAATAATTCTTTCGTTGCTCTCGTAGAAGACCCTGATATATAGCTCCATGACTTCTAGTATATTAATAAACCTTCCTTGAACTTCTCCAGTCGGCGTAGCTATCATAGGCGGTAGACAATTAGTCTCCTCGTTCGGGTTTTGCTGTACTATCACATTTTTCTCATGCAGGGAGGAATTGTCTCTGGGGCTTAACCTTAGCAGTGATGGTAGCCCTTCTTTTTTCTGACGGCTAACCACATCCATCAGAGGACCCTCATAGTCCATGTCTACTTGACTAAAGTCCATGTCAAAGTTTATGGTCCTGCCCTGCAGCAACATTTCCTCATTGAGTGCGAGGTTCCAGCCATCTTTAAAAGCAAAGATCAGCCTCTGACCTGAAATTTCTTTGTAGACAACAGGAAAAATATCAGTGAGCTGAAACTTAGCCTGAACAAGAACATAACAAAGTATTTATTAAATAAAATTTTAATTTATGTTGGTAAGAAAAATATTTATTTTCGTATGTATTTTGTTTAATTTAGTAGAATATCAAATTTTAAAAAGAGAAAATTGAAGTGTATAATTTCAAAAATTTTCATTAAATTGATGTTAATTTTTTTTACAAAATTTTTGGACCCGATCATAGATGTTTTGGCCAACTAAATAACCCCAGAACAATCAAAATTCTAAATTTTCATGCCAAGTAATGTTAAGTTGCAGAGTATGTCTTTAGGTGTCGTCTGTTGATCGGCAACATGGGTCTATCACCCCAAAAATCTACTAGCTAGTAGGCTCCTCTTGTGTAGAGCTTCTCTATGACAAATGATCCCTCCCAAGCTGGCTCAAATTTTTCACGTATCTTGCAGCGTGCAAGAGTGGGTCTTTTGAGCATGACAGCAAGGTCACCAACTTTGAAAGTCCTTGGGCAGACCATCTTGATAAAGCTCAAAATGTTGTTGTGCTTGTAGTCATTTTTCTTCAGGACTCTCTAATTCCTCGAGTCTGACTTTTGCCCTTTCTTCTATAATCAGTTGATTGGCGACAGCGACTCTGAGAGACGGCATCTAGACTTCTAACTGAAGTACGGCCTCAGACCCGTACAAGAGCATGTAGGGTGTACACTGAGTTGGAGTCCTGAAAGTCGTCTGGTAGGTCCGCAAAGCTTCTAATAATTTTTTGTGCCAATCTCTTTTATTTTCGTCTACTGTTTTCTTTAAAATATGTATCAACGTCTTGTTGAAAGCCTCGACCAATCCATTTGCTCTAGGGTAGTAAATAGTAGAGTATCTCCAATCTATCCCATGCTTTTCATGAAATTGTAGATTCGTGTGCTTTTGTAGGTTATCCCATTATCAAAGATTATTCTGCGTGGTACTTCGAAATGGTAGAGAATATGACTTTTGAAGAATTGAAGGACGTGCTGTGTCGTAACCTCTCATAACGATACTGCCTCTACCCATTTGGAAAAGTAATCCGTAGTGGCAAGTATAAATCTATGTCCTTTGGAAGACGGAGGGTCTAACAGAACTATTATATCAGTACCGCAACACTTGAATGACCACGAGGCAACTGTTGGGTGTAGCACATTTTGAGGTTGGTGCAAGACCACCCCATGCACTTGACATTGGTGACATCTTCTAGCTGTATCCATGCATTGATACATCATTGCCAACCAATAATATTCGAGTTTCTTGATCTTCATTTTCAGCTTTAGCCCTGACTAGTGAGCGCCACACAATCCGACATGTACTTCTTTAAAAATATTTAGTGCTTCGGCTTTACTCAAACATCATAGCCTCATTTAGTCGAACAATCTTCTGTAGAGGATGTTACCCACTAGAGCGTAAGACATAGCCCTTTTTATAATGTGATGTGCCTCGGACTTGTCTTCTGACAGTTTTCTAGATTTTAAGTATTCTATCAATGGCTTGCGCCAATCTTTATTGATATCCACAAAAGCAATTATCGTTTCCTCTTCTTTCCGGAGCTTGTGTAGAGTGTTGAGGTCGATTCAAAACAAAACCTATCTTTCTTGTACTGTGATATCAATGTAATCCTCTGGGGGACATGCGAGCTCCTTAGCATGTTTTATTAGAGCATCAGCATGGGCATTTTCTCTCTGAGAAATCCAGTAGAAAGTTACACTAGGAATCTACTCTAGTAGCTTCATTGTGTACCGATAGTATTCTACTAATCTTGGTTTTAAAATCTTGTACTGTCGGCGACTTCCTGGATGATGAGTTGAGAGTCACCGTGGATGGCAATATCTGTTATGTCCATCAAGATTGCCAAATCCAACTCGGTAATTAAGGCTTCATACTCTGCTTCATTGTTGCTACATGTCTCTGCAGGTGGTATGAGAACCTCGACAAACCCTTATCTAGTGGGATAAAGATCAGACCAATCTCTACTTTGCCTGGTATAACTATGTCTGATCCTTTGTCTTTTCTTGCTGACAAAACTCCGCCGATATATATTTCCCAGCGTTGCGTGCTTGAGAATTCCATCTACATTATCTTTTCATATGGTAACTCATCATTAAGATGGGACCCAGCTGACAGTGGATGTGCAGCGAGATAGTTTGATAAAAAATGTCACTTGATAGCACGGAGGGGAACAAAAGTTATATCAATTTGCAATAAAATCATTGACCATCTTTCTAGACATCCAGAGAGTGTTGGTCAGGTCATCAAATATTGCAACGAATTAACTTTTGAAATAAGGGTAATCTTATGCGAAAGCATGAATATCTAATCTTTTGGGTGGCAAAAATCAAAGCTAGACAATGGTTCTCAATGGTGGATACCTTATCTCCGTTGATATTAAGTGGCGACTCATGTAGTACAATGCATTTTCTTTACCCTGTCATTGACTTAGGCTAAGAGGGCTCCAAGCGAGTCGTCTAAGGCCGTGGTATAAAGTATCAAAGGTTTCTTTGGGATGGGGGCTGCAAAAATAGGAGGTGTAATTAAATATTGTTGGCATTTGTCTTCTCAAATGAATTTGGCGTCCTTTCTAATTAATATAAAAAAGGCTGACACCTACCTCAGATACGCCAACTTCCCTTGAAAGGAACGTAGTTGTTTTAAAGTTTTGGGAGGAGGTTTTTTCAAGGTGTCTTTAATCTTATCCGGGTCAATCTCGATTCCCCATTGATGGAAAACAAATCCTATAAATTTCCTGGAGGTAACGCTGAAGGCGCACTTTAAGGGATTCATCTTAAGGGCATATCGTCGTAATCGTTTGAACACAATCCTGAAGTTATACAAATGGTCTACTTTTTGTTTGCTTTTGATGAAAAAATCATCCACGTAACATTCCACTTGGTTGTTAATGGGATCATAAAAAGTCTTTGTCATAGCTCATTGGTATGTTGCTCTAGTGTTCTTTAAGCCAAACGACATCGTTGTGTAGCAGAAAATCCCAATAGTTGTTTTGAATGCTGTAAGTGTTACATCCTCGAGAGCCATCTTGATCTGGTTGTATCCTGATGATCCATCCATGAAGGAAAAATTTGTGTGTTAAAGCGGTATCCATCAATATTTTTGGTATCAGTATTGAAAATTCATCCTTTAGACATGCTTTGTTCAAATCCCTGAAGTCGACACATACACGGATTTGTCAATTTTTCTTTTTAACTGCCACAATGTTGGCTAACCATGTAGGGTACTGCTCTTCTTTTACAAAGTTGGCGTCTATTAATTTCTTTACCTTGACAATGACTTGCTGCACTAATTCAAGGGCATTCTTCTAGAAGCTTGTTTTACTAGGGTTATATTTTTGTCCACCCCGAATTTATGAACTGTAACCTTTGCAGACTGGCCTGGAATTTGATTGTAACTCCATGCAAGGAAATCTTTGAACTCTGTTAACAGTTTGATCAATTTTAAAGATTTTTTGTCGTTGAGTAGAGTACTTATAAACGTAGGTCCGGGTTTTTCTTCTGTCTCGAGGTTAATTTCTTTCAATTCATCGATAGTTGATTTGATTTTTTCCTCAAACTCTAGCGAATCATCTTTTATTAGTTTATCATTAGAGTCATCCTCCACATCAAGGCAATCCTTTTTTGATTCACTAGTAACAACCATGCAAAATTCTAAATCATCGACTGGTCCGACTGTACCAAATCCAAGACCAACTTTCAAGTTTTGAGTTCGACTTTTAACATTCTATAATCTTTCAAAAAGTTGTAATTTATCTTTTCTCATTTATTTTTGCATATTTCCTTGTTGAATTAACTTTTGTACACAACGCAAAAAGTAACCAAAAGGCAATTCCATCAATTCATTGGGATCATCATCAAAGTTTAATCATCATCAAAGTTTACATGATTATCAATTCATTGGGATCATCATCAAAGTTTACATGATTTTCAGAATTAGTAGAGGTAGAAGAAAAATAAAATTTGTTCAGTTTTGAACCAGCGCTAAAGACTTCCTTGGCCTCTAAAATCTCGACCTTTTGAGGGAGAATCAATGTAAGGGACATGGTGTTCACATAGTGATTTATCTGATCATACATTATCTCATATTCTCTTTTCTCCGTATCTTCTAAGGATATGAGGTATTGAGTTTTCTTCTATTTTTTTCATCATTATTTCATCTTCAGAACTGTCTTCATCACCAAGGTTGATGGTCGGCCTTGTCCGTTCAACAATTAAGTTGGTTCTTTCTCGTCCACGTCCCCGGCCTCAACCTCGGGTGTGCGAACTAAAACAGCACCCACCAACTTGTTGCAAAAGAGTGGTGGAAAATTGTTGAAGCGGAATTGAATGGCTTCCTCTTTATGATTCTTCTGAATCTTCTCCTTTATTTCTCACAA